GAGCTGGAACCAACTTCCAAGGGAAGTGGTGCTGGCCCCTACCCTGGGGGTCTTTAAGAAGAGGCTGGATGCCTACCTGGCTGGACTCATTTGAGTCCCGTTTCTTGTTTTGGGGTTTTGTTGTTCTCCCACCCTGGCGGGGGGTCGGGCTAGAAGATCTACTAGGTCCCTTCCGACCCTAAATCTATGAAACTATGAAACTAGTTCTACTCTTTAATTAATTACCCAAGTAAGCTAGCATTTCTGGGAGGCAAAGGCATAACAGTGCAACTGAATAAACTTCAGCAGTCTCAAGAATGGATAGGAAGAAACTAAGAGGATGCCTGTAGCTTCTGTTTGTTCAAGAACTTGGCTTAACAATGCTTAACTCTGTATCTGGGGCTAGCTTGCTGGGCATTTTGCACTCTCAGGATATAACTGAGATAAGAATGTTAAAAACCCAACAGTACAGCAAATGATATCTGGAAACCACTTGTAGTTTGATAGTTTGAAAACCTGAAGTAAAATTCAAGTTGTATTCAATGTCCAAAAATGCCTAATAAATGTAATTTGCTTCGTTTTCTTTTCAATATGATCTGCATGACGAAGAGATGTTTAAAATGTTTGAGCAATAGTGGTGGTAAGTGATGCACTTGTGTTAAAGTAAAAGGCTGTACAAGACACTGTGAAAACTTTACTAATTTTTTAACCATTGCTATTTCGGTACGTTCTGACTTCATCATTGTCTTGTATGTGTTACTGAATTTTCACAGTAATATCAACTGTGCATGATATACATTTTTCATTCCAGTTTCCTGTTGTGGGTTATTTTGATCCAAAAGTTTCCCACAGCAGAGGATGTCAAGGATACTGGAATCCTTGTATTGTCCAAAAGCCACTGACCAAGACTAGTGAGCGACTCCCCTCAACACAGTAGGTGTCCAGTGTTAAGAGTCATTCGTAAAATATTTTTACATCCAGCTGATAGAGACAAGGAATGAGGCCTGCCAGAATTGTGTTACTCTGTCACAGTTCTGTTTGAAATTTGATATTGGTGGATACATGGTATACAGCTGTGACAGGATCCAGCTTAGCTTGTCTTTATACAATGTTACCCAAATATAGCAGCTTCACTGTTCCCACTTGTGAAATGCTGAATAGCCTCAACTCCCATCAAAATGATAGGAAGCTGAGAATGCTCAGCATCTCACAGGAGAGGTGGCCACAATGTGATGTGACAGTACACAGAGAGAAGGGATACAACAGCTGGCAACAAGTTAAACCATTGTCATAATTTTCTGATTAAAATGCAACTGAGATTTTTATTTTTAAGAATTGCAAATGAAAAAAAAATGATAAACGTTAACTGAAAGGAATTTCTTGCAATATCAGGTAGTGTCACGATGGTCTTAAAGAATAAAAAAATATATCTATAAATATATATAGTTGGAGATAACATCACTCCTAAGTTAACAATCTGAAACACTGTACAATTCAGCTCTTGTGCTTTTAAATGTTTTTAAATAGTTTACTTGAATATTCATGTAATATATAAAGTTTTGTGAAATAAATTTTAGTTAGAAAGAAGCTGGTGTCAGCTTTCATCAATATAAATTGACACTGGTGTGTCATAATATTCTTATTTTGGGAAATTAGTGCATTTTATATTAAAGACTACTAAAGGTTAATTTTTTCTATTTCTATTCTCCATATTTTAAACTTATGTGACTAAGGTACCTCTATTAATAGGCTTTCATGTTGTAAAGTCAGTTTGAAAATCAGCTGTTAATACAATAGCTCTGTTAGATGGGTTACATTTTCTATTGATTTTTTTTTAACAGTAATGTTTTGTAACAAGGGCTTGTTACACAGCAGTGCAACAATGATGAAAAATGAAGTTTATCATGCCTTTTTGTGATCTTTTTGGTTTTTGGCTTCGGAGTAATTCAATGTAAACACAGACAAACCCTGTGCATTTGTTTTGTGTAATTCCATAAAGAAATTTTGTAAAATATTTTATGTCTATCTTTGAGGTCTGGTGAATGTTCAATGTTTGATTTACTATGTTAAGTTGCCATTCCTAATAAATATTTTCATAGCAAACAGCTTCAGTGGAAGTTGTGTGCACAAATTCAATATAAAGTATTTGTAACAAGTTTACAAATAAAACTAACAAAACTTAATTTCAGAATTCACAGAAGGATATGAGTGTTTATAATGAAAAATGCTTCAAATGTCATGCAGTGCATTGCAAAGGGACTTTTTTCAGACAGAATATAATGCAGTGGTAGCAGTGAGGCTAGATGACCTGACTGATCTTTTCTGAGAATAACTTTAGTGCAAGAAGGCTGATTTCCATGCCAATCTGATCAGGCCTAATTTAAATAAGTTTAGATCAGCCTGTCAGTGTATCCTCAGGTACATAGGCAAGTTGTAAAATGCCTTCCCTGGAGGAAAGAGCATCTGACATATTTGCATGATCACCTTTAAATTCTGTTGCAAAAATGATCAAAAACCGTAAGAGAAGAGGCAGCTAAAATTGTTCTGTGTACTGAGAATGAGGGATGTGTTTCAGCATTTGCTCTATTTTTAGAAGCACTTGGAAAAATGATGCACCTAAAGCATGCTGCGATAAACAGGACTGTGAATGGCTTGGAATGGATTTACCAGCACTGCGTTATTAAAAAGGAGTGAACGTTTACAGAATGAGAGCAGTGTTAATCACTGGCAGTATTAATTCAGGTACAACTCCACTGAAATCAGGGCCTTTCCCCTCCCCCCAGTAGTGAATTAAGGGGTACCTGGTTGTGACCTCTTGTACCTGTACATACTTCTGTGTTCCCCTGTAGTTATTTCCCCCTCAGTTTTGCAAGTACATATGTTACATGCTGTTTTGTTCTTTGGGTATTGAAGACATACAGGTAGCTACAGGCATGGAGTGGGACTCTAACCCATATTTAATAGGTATGGCAAATTCTTGTTTACACAAATTGTGTCTACAATGCAAAATGCACTTTAAACTGATAGAAAAGTATTGTTTGCTCTTCATGGCAGGAAGAAAAATATCTTTTTAATGGAGAAAGGAACATACCTTTGACAAAGACATATTTAGGGAAAGAGAGAGAAGAAATGAGTAGGGAACAAAGAGAAGCTGGGATGGTGTTGAGGGGACATGGTAGGAATAGAAGCCAAAATCCAGCTTTAGGGATGACTCGATGGTTGAAAGAGAAGGGTACAGACAGGGGGACATCCTATTTTGATATGCATTTCTTTGAACCAAAAGTCTAGTATAAACTGACTAGCTGGCTGTGGTACATTGCACCATGTTGTAGTTGCCCTATGTGCAATGGTCTGCCTGCACTTCTGCCATACCTTTCACTGCAGCAAAGTCTTTATTGCACACTGCAATTCTCTGGTACTTTGTGTACTTTCATACAGAATAGCATCAGGGTGGCCAAACTGCCTTATCTGTTATCAGGCAGTTCACTTTGACTTTATTCATTTATTTATTCATGAAGAATGCCTGGCTTATCCTTGCAGGTTTTTCTGAGTGCTGCTCTGAGATATAAGCATGTTGCTTCTCATTTAATTACTGTGAGCCATATGAGAGCTATAATACATATGGCATACGCTTAATGACTGTTTGTTCTTTGCTTTGGAACCAAGTTAATTGAGAGATTTCTATTTCTTTTTGTAATATAAAATTGCCTTGCTTTAGAAATGTGGTGTTCATTTCTTTCACCTTTTCTCCTAGTGATAAATTGCTCTAGATCTGCACAATATTTGCATAATTTGTACATGAGAGGCACATTGCCCCACAGACTGAATAAGCCAAGCCAGCTGGAATATGCAGTAAGCAGGCACACAATAGGGTTCACATAGTTTTAGTGCTTTCACTGAGTATAACCTACACCTTCTTTATTTTTTTAATAAAGGGAAACGGGAAGTAATTCTTAATTTATGCCATCAAACCAGAACATGGAATTAGGCGTTACAGTGGGTGAAAATACATGCTGACTTTTTCTTCCCTGTTACAGCTGGAACAAAAGCAAGTCCCTGTTGTGTAATATGACTCTGAGAGCACATCTGGTAAGCTAGTGCTTAATAAATCTCTGACTTTGTTTCTTGTGCAAATGAAAATTCAAGCCTTCTTTCATGTACTTTCTTTTCTACTTTTATAGATGTTATAGGAGAGGAAAAGAGGGTGTAATATAACATCACTTTCCTGAACTACTTTCTACCAAAATTAATTAAGAAAAGTAATTTCAATTAATGCACATTCAGAGATTTCCTTAACACCAGAAAAGCATTGTCTGTTCTAGGTTTCATTCATAAGGTCGTATCTTGGCATTGCAGCCCCTGCTTAATGGAAGATCACATGCTGTTTGCAGAGCTCTTTGTGTGATACAGACATAGCATATCAGTTTGAGGATAAAATGCAGATCTCAGCCCTTTGTCTTCCTCTTGCTGTGAGTTAGTTAAATCCTGGATGTTACTTAGAAATGTGATTTATTTGTTTGTGTGTGTGGGGTGGGGGGTGTAATTTCCTTTGTCAGTATTCATGAGGGGTTTAAAAATAATTGACTATGATAGTTTATAAGGAAAAATTGTGGCTTTATGCATTTTTGGTCCCATCTAGAATGAACATCTGCAGCTGTTCCTCACTCACAGGAATCACTCCCCCGCTCCTATAGAATTTCATGGTCTCTTAGGAGCCAAAATTTTAAGTTGTGCCTAGCCCATTAGGCTCCAACATCATATAAGATGACTTGTTCTTCACAGAATGGTCTCTGTTCCTATAGCCTGTAAGCAGCTTTCCACTGCTAAGTCTTAAGTCTATTTCCTCATCAACTCACACCCCCCTTTCTTCTTTTATTTATTTCATGATGTCTAATAGCAGCTTCTTACAGGTGGAATCGGAAGCATTTCCCAGCTTGTAAGTAAATCCATAGATAAAAGCAGGCAGGTCTTGGAACTCATTTATGCAAAATCTCCCTGCAAAAGAAATTCAGCACCTTTTCATGTGAGTTTTTGTCTGCCTTCAACATTTTCCCTGCTGGGGCACTTGCAACCATAGACTTATATAGTTTAAGTGGCTCAACACCTACCACTGCTTTCTGTGGGATTGGGCCGAAACACATTTTTAGAATTCTCCCTTACCCTATCAAACCTGTATAGATACATTTTTAGGGAGAAAAAATTGTCTTTTGCTCCAGCCTCCAAACATTAACACGCACATCAAACTACACTAACTAGTTGTAATAATGTTAAACCTAAAGCCTGACTGCAGATTGCAAGAGCAGCCTCAATATAAAATGGGTGGATGGCTGACACAGTTCTGACAACAAAAAAAAAGCTGAACTGAATGAATTTAGCTGATGCATTATAGAACTATATTGTTGGTGCACGATAGAGAGCTTTGCTCTGTACATTAGCAGTTTGGAATCAGCACATCGCGGAGTGTCTTTACAACTTACTTTAAGAAAGGCCAAGTTTATTTTATTCCAGTGAGACTCTACCTGTGCTAGTTGCCACATCCCTAGGCAAGATCTGTCTAACAGAACTGGGCCCAGGGCCATGGCAACTGCTGGCTCTGGCTTTATGTACCCTCCCTTTAACGTTTGCCTTCACATAAATGATTGTTTGGGTTTTTTAAAAGGAAAGCTGCCTATGGGTTTTAGAGCAAGCCCCAGTCCTCCAGCAGATCCCTACTCTGAATCCTGCTGGCCTCAAATCTTGTCCTTACACAAGATGGGCCTCCCTAACTCAAATGTGCCTCTAGGACATCCAGGGCATTTTTATGTTTGGTCCCAACATGGCGCTGGGCGCTTTTAATTAGCAAGCTGCACTAATGAAAAATGCCCGTCCGTCACGTATATCAGCGGCATAGTATATCCCCAAGCTGAGAAAATGGTGGTGGGGTGCTTTGAACTATAGCACATCAAACGTGTTTTATTTCAAAGCACACTGCTGCCATTTTCTCAGTGCAGAGACGTGCTGTGCTGCTAATGCATGTGATGCATGAGGCTGCCAGAGCACATCAAATTGATGTGCTCCAGCAGACTTGATTGAGTCTGCTCTGACGTGCTGGATTTCCAGTGCATCAGAGCAGGCTCCCCACGTGTGTGTAAGTGCCCCCATTGCCTGATGGGCTATTCTTGGCCTCCAAACCTCTCCTACAGCTGTGCCCAAGCCTTGCAGGTGTTAAGTTATTGCTTATGTGGGGCACTTTGCCCCAAGCCACTACCAGGCCACCTCAGGCCTTTACTCCCTTGTCAGCGTCTCAGTCTTCCTGACCTCTGCTCCTTTCCTCTGGGTGTGCCCTTGGTTTTCTCTGTTTAAAAATAGAAAATTCTGAGATACAAATCTCAAATTCTCTGATTTAAACCCCCAAAGTATATTTTTCCATGATTAAAATGAAACACTAATATTTATAGATACACAATAAAACACAATGTTTTATTCATATATTTACAATTTTAAAGTAATGTGGAAGCCTACTAATGCCTCAATCATTCTGATGAAATAAATTCTAAATACCTATACCTTTTGGTGTTTGATTTGGGGTTTTTTTATCATGGAAAATCAGACCTTCCCCTGCCCACTTCGCTCACCAGGATGTGGGTCCAGCTGCGTCTGTCCCTCCCCTTTGATTTGTGGAGCTGAATAGCCCTGATATGCCAATGCCCTGCCTATGCCCCTCACTCCCAAGCCAGAGCCTCCCCCCCGCCCCCCCACCCTGCTGGTGCCCCTTGTTCCTGACTGACAGCCTTCTGGCCCCACTGGTGGCCCTCACTTCCAACCCACAGCTCCCCATGCCCCCAGCCCTGTTGGTGGGGGCCTCCAGCTGCCAGGGCTACAGGGCCAGGGACCCAGGTCTACAGCCCCATGCCCCACAGCAGCGCCTGAGCCCTGGCTGCCACCCATGGGAGGTGGCAGCTGCTGCAGCCAGAATAGAGAGCAGAGCCTGGCTCCCCCTCCCCTACCAGCAGCATGGCTGGAGCACAGCCTGTGGGCAGGAGTGGATAAGGGCTGGCTGCTGTGGGCTCGAGGCTTCCCACCCTGCTGCCCTACCCCTGGGGGTCTCAGCAGCCCAGCAGGTGAGACCCAGTGTAGGAGGGCAGAGTGGAACAGGGAGGCTTGGTACCACTACCAGGAGCCCTACACTGCCATGCCAAGGCACTTCTTGCCCACCCTGCAGCACTGGGGGTCACAACTCCATGCCACCACCCCTGCTACTACCGGGCAGGCAGAAGGTGCCTCGCCAAGCTGGTGTGGGCTCCCAGTGGTGGAACCGAGCTTCCCTGCCCTGCTCTTCTGCATCAGGTCCTGCCCACTGGGCCACAGAGGCCCCAGGGTGGGCAGCCTTGAGCCTGTAGCAGCAAGCCCACATCCACCCTGCCCCATGCAAAAATCTGGGGGGCATGTGCCCTGCCATGC